AAATTAATGTAATATCTTATTAATGTAATGTATTTTGAAATTAATGAAATGTTTTATTAATTATGTTGTTTTTATAAATTAAGAAAAATAAAAATTAATTTATTGATTAATAAATATCATATTATGTGTATCTTTTGTTTTATATGAATATGACTGGATATGATAAAACTAGACAAGTTTTCCCTTAAATTCATTTGAGATTTTATAGATCATATAATAATTACAAATGACACAAATAAAGTAAATATTTTAAACAATTTAATTTATAAACATTTTTATAAGATTTTCATATACATAAATGCATACATATAGCGCCAAATTTGAATTGTAATTTGATATAATTGACAGTGGTTCAAAAAAACTCGGTTCGTACGAAGAAAAAAACTATGTCTTATTCGATTTTGAAGAATTCTTATCAATTGACGGGCGCATGGTGAATATTGTTACAATAACAATGAGTGTGGAGGCAGAGGCAATGGTGATTTGATCAAAATCCGATTCATCAAGGATCAAATTAGGCATCATCAAAATTCAATTTACAACTACACTAGTTATATTTTGAAATTCTAGAAATCTAGTTTCTCTAGACTATTTTTGGCAAACTAGCTGATAACTCATAAACTAGTTTTTAGTTGATAACCTAACTGATGAATAAATTATGTTGACAAAAATTAGCTTATAAGCATGTAAAAATGACAAAAAATGGTCTCTTGAAACGATAATCAATTACAAATATTTCATAATATAATCAAAATAAATTTATGTTAACATAATTAAAACAAAATTTTAATAATATGATATGTTAATTAATACAATCAAGATAGTAAAAAAAATTAAGTAAAATAATATGTTAATTGAGAGAATTTAAAATCGATTATTATATATATTATAAATTATGAATTTGTTAAAAACAAATTTTAAAAAAATAATCTATAATTTTAAATATCATTTACATATAATATGAATAACAATAATATATATATATACATATACATATTTCTCATAACCGGTCCCGGTCCTATAAAACTGCCAAAAACCCCAACCGATCCCGATTTTCGGTCCCATAACCGGTCCTAGTCCTCCAGCGGTCACAAGCCGGACCGGGCCGATATGGCAATCACTAACCCCTACCCTGATACCCATAACGCTAATAAATTCTCATCTCTCCACCACCACTATTAATTCCGCATTTATAACAAACAATTTAACAACCACCACCTTAACAATGGAATTCGAACAATTCATCGTCGACAACCTTCTCCATTTCCCCACCGACGACCTCCACCAGGAGGAGCAGGAAACCGATGTCACCTCCACTGCCGTCAACACCTGCAACTCTACTACCCTCGCCGGAGATCTAAGTTGCCGGAGCTTCGTCGACACTCAATTCTCTAACCTCTGCGTCCCGGTAATTTGCTTACCATGAATCGTCACTGATTTTTTTAATATATAAATTAAGGTAAATTAATTTGTAGTGATTCATTGTTTGATAGTACGATGATTTAGCTGAGTTCGAATGGCTATCGAATTTTGTGGAAGAATCGTTCTCCAATGAGGACCTGCAAAAGCTCCAATTGATATCCGGCCTGAAAGCTCGATCGGAAAATGGAACCAAGAACCGCCAATTCCAAATTCGGCCCGCGATCAATCGAACCGATTATAACCCCGTATTCAACATCAATATGATGGTCCCAGGAAAGGCCCGTACTAAGCGGTCTCGTGCCGCTTCTTGCAACTGGGCCTCTCCTCTTCTCATCAACTCTCCCACCGTAACCGGACCGATTCCCACCACATCGTTGAATTTCACGTCGACTTCAATCGAGAAGAAGAACGTTAAGAAGGAATTTGACGATAACTCTAATAACGAAGATGGACGAAAATGTGTCCATTGCGCCACTGATAAGACACCTCAGTGGCGTAGTGGACCCATGGGTCCAAAAACACTATGTAATGCATGTGGGGTTCGTTACAAGTCTGGTCGTCTCGTGCCTGAATACCGACCGGCTGCGAGCCCCACATTCATTCTCACCAAACACTCTAATTCCCATCGGAAGGTTCTCGAGCTAAGAAGACAAAAACAGATGCAAAGCGTACCACAATTTATCGATCATCAAAACATCAACGACGACTACTTGATTCCCCAACATATCGGCCCCGATTATCGGCAACTTATCTAACGCTTGCTCGATTTAGGAAAATTTGGATAGAGTCGCTACTTAATTTTTCGGTTTTGTAGTTGTCGAAAACTTGCAATTATATTACATCACTTCAAGGTCATTATTTGTTGATTATTTTTTTACGTTATATTTGTAAACGAAAATATAAGTAGATAAGTATAAATGAAGATAACCAATGATTTATAAAGGAAAACTAAAAGGGTATTCGCACAATGTAACGAGATATATTTTGATTTTAATGTTTTGCATTTCTTTGTTGTCTCAGTCGATGTTATAATACGATTTTATATGATTTTGAGAAAGCGATAATGTTTTTATTTTTAAATAAGATATAAATATTAAGACATCATAAAGAATTTTATAAAAAATTGATATTAGTACCAAATTAACTATTTAAAATTTCTTTTTTTATGTATTTCTTTAATTCATTTTTGTTTTGTTTAATATATTGTTTTTATAAAGATAATAATTAAGTATTTTGTTACAATTCAATGATTATCCTAATTATATTTTAATTTTTTTATATTTAAAATGAAATGTTTATCCTTTCGATTATATTTATATGCAGTTAGTTACACGAATTCAAACATGCAGATTTAATAAGTTGTACTTACGCACAGTTTACTTGTAATTTTGAATTTCATGCATAAAAAATGGTTTTTAAGAGTTTTTGTCAAATGCTTTATAATATAGTATAGATATGTGTAAATATTTATTAGTTTTGTTATGTCCAATCTTGTCTAACTGAAATAGTGAATAATTATCATGTCGTGTCTTCTTCTACCTTATTATATCTGAATAACAAATGCATTCTTATTTACATATTTTTGGAATATGATAGAAATTATATATTCATAAAAATCAGGAATATAAACGTTCTAAAATGGTATTTTGCATCCTGTCATTAACCGAATGTAATAAAAGATAATATAATTTAATATTTAAAAATGAATGATACATGTGGAGATGTTCCATTTTGGACCAAAAAAGTATAAACTAAAAAATAAAAAGAAATTGATGTGATCATGTGGCTTCATCTGGGAGTTTAATTATATTATTAATCTTAACCACAAGTTCATAATTAGTAAAATATTTCAATTAGAATTGTTTGATTCAGGCCAACATTTAACCAAAAATTGGGTTAGGCAACATCTTAGTTCATTTGGATCATAATTAAGGTCCGAAAAACTTGATCCGATAAAATTATAAATAAACTAGTGTTTGACATCGCGCGTTGCACGATGACGATAATTTTTTAAAAATTATTGAAGTTAGCTAAATGAATCGATGATCACATTTATATATTAAATTAATAAGAATCAATATTACCTTTGATATATGAATCTACCCACCTCATTTTGATTATCCATATATTTTATATGAGTTTTACAAAAAAAACAAATTAATCCCAAATACAATGTAAACAACCTCGAAAACACACTGTTTCGAGCCAATTAGAGTTATAACTGACTTTCGACCCTTCATGAAAGTGGTTGCAAGATACGAGCTTATTACGACTTACAGTTTGTGAGTTATACATTGGCAAAGTACGAGAGCTGCACTGTCGATAAAATCCAATTTCACAATTTCTCAACTAACTTTATGATCCCAACTTCGCGTATTCAATCAAACGGGTAATTTTCTCCCCGACTACGAGTCCCATACCCCATAAACTGAAAATCCATAACCCCAATTGCTACGGTAATACCTTTTAGTTGTCTTATGCTTGTTTGAACAACCTCGATTAATCTTGTCTTTCTTATTATGTTGTACTAAAAAATGATTGAAA